CATATGCAGTAGAATGACAGTTCCATTGTGTGTTAACTTTGTGTATTAATGAATAGAGTACTCCAGTTTCATAGGCATTAAGTTTCCGTGAAACATTCCAGGCCCCTTTGACCATTAGAGAGCTTAAGAGTGAGGTTAAGAGTTTAAGAATAAGTTTGTCTGAAGGTGAGGATAGAAGCTCAGAGCCAATACATCAGCCACCTGGGTCGCAATTGGTCTTGGGAACTTTCTAGAGTCCTGGACTATCTCTCTCTTCTGGCCTACAGGCTGAGATCCTTTATACTGGACCTGACTTCATGCCTCTATCAGCTTAGAATCTACTTTCTACCTGGAATACGCCCTCGTACCAGAGAAGCTAGATCCTTTTCCGCCTTGATGAACCCCTCATCATCAAATTGAACTATGCTCAAGTTCAAGCATAGGCATATTTGCTAAGCTAGCCTGCTGCCCATAGCATGTCATCTCCTCCGTGAGTAGCCAGACACCAGCACACAGGCCTTTCAGTGGCACAGCTATAGATGACTGCCTGTATTGTCACCTTCATGTGGAAATGGGCACGTTTTAGCTCTGGAAGGTGGAGTCATCTGTCCGATGCCACACAATAATGCATCTGTGGATATGAACCAGCTCTCCAATGCCAGAGGTCATAGTCTTCACCCCACACTGTCCTACTTCCAAAAAATACTGAAGCGATGGGAACCAGGCTCTTTGGCAGGAGCAGGGGACGTCACCTAAATTTATAGTTTGAGTGCCTGTGTGAGTCTCCTTAGAACTCCACATACTTCTCCCACTGTGGGGACATAGTTCCTGAAACCCCGCCATTCCAGTTCAGTTCCTTTCGCCTGGCATCGAAGGCCTCCATTACCCTGATCTAAGTTCTCAGGCTGACTGTTCAAAAATCCCCTCTATACAGCTGTCGGCATTGCCACACTGATTGGTCCTTACTTCTACCTTATTTGGCTTTTCTGCCTCTCCACCTCAGCCTGTGCTCCTGTTTCCACCTGGCAAACCCTAATACCTGCCCACAACAAACACTTCGCAGGTGTCTGCTCAAAGAACACATTTCTTTGTACTCAACATTGCTCTATGAATCTTCTCTTAAAATGCAAACATAATCGTACACATATCAAGATAAGAAGCATGTACTCCACACAGCTTTTTATGACTGGGATGGGAGGGTTTTTTAAATTTTTTTTTTGCTTGTTTGTTTTAATCTTTTATACAGTGCCTTTATTTTGCAAATAGGGTAGCCAGTAATAATTTTATAATAAAACATTAAAAATAAAACAACTCTTGGGAGGCATAATACATTAAAGCGCTAACATCGGAGAACGAATGAAATTACTGATGTCCTTCCTAGCCCAGAACTACTAAAGCATATGGCACACTTTTGGGGAAAAGTCAGGGGATTGGTGGGAGCTAAAGGAGACACACTTACTGTACTTGACTATTTAGAAAGCGGTGGGTAGGGAAAGCCGAGGGCGGGGATAACGGGTGGTGTTTTTAGAAAACTTTTTAGCAAGAAATTGACCGATATTGGGCTGTGGCTTTAAAGAGATGACAACTAACCTTTATACTGGGCTCGCTGTTGTTTTTTTTTACGTGTCTCTCATTCACTCAATGACCTCATTAAAGCATTACAACGACCCTTGAGGTTATTATTATTATTATCATTATTTTAATTATTCTTTTTTTGTGGAGGGCAGTATCACTGGCCCTCACATGTGGGATCCGAACCGGGGCCCTCTAGCGTCCCAAGCCAGTTCTTAACCATCGCGCCACTTGGCCGGCCGAGGTTATTATTCCTCATCTTACAGAGGGGGAAACTGAGGCTAAGGAAGTTTAAGGTCACAGCGCTAGTAAATAGAGCGGGGGCCAAATCCAGATCTCCTGGCTCTGGAAGGTGTTAAATAAAACACAAAGAGGAAAGAAACGGTCCGGGGGAGGGTAAGAGGCGCGCACGCCAGCAGGCAGGTCCCATCAGGAAAGGAGCGTCCTGTAGTTTCTCGGTCCAGTCTGGCCAGGTGGTTTGGCGAGAGGGAAGCAATGTGAGGAAGGCAGACGGTGGAGACGTGGACGTGGGCGAGGCCTGGGGTGCGGGGAGCCCCTGTCTCCTCCCCGCAGCCCCTCCACCTCGGAGCCTTACCTTCCTGCTCCGCCTGAGCGCAGGAAACGCGGCGCCGCGTGGTCCCGCGCGGCCTCCGTAGGGACCCCGTTGCCATGGCTCCCAAGAGCCGGCGCGGACGCGCAGAGACGTGACCGGGCAGCGTGAGGGGTGTCCTGGAGGGTCCGAGGCCCACGCACGGGAGAGGCGCCATGGGCCGGAGTAAGCGCCCCCTCCCACCCTCTGCCCTCGATCGACCCCCTTCCAGGCATCGTCCCAAGGCCTTTGGGACCCTCAGCTCCAGCCCCCGACCGTCACGCCCCCTTCCCGCCCGAGGACCCGGCCCCACTCAGCAAAGCCCGTCCCTTCGCCCTCCTCCAACCTGCCGGGCAGCCTGGCCTTTGAGAGACTCAGGCTCCTCTTCCGTAGAGATGGGGTGGGCGAGGGGGTGGGTGGAGGAGAGGGGGCAGCGGCTGTGCGGGGGGTGGCACACGGGGTTCCCGCCCGCGCGCCTGCGCCTCGCCTGCTGTGTGGTCCCGGCCTAGCCGACAGCCTCAGAGCCGCAGCCTTCACACGCCTTCGGGGGGGCTGCCTCCGCCCCCTACCAGCTATGAGACTTGGAGCGAACGGCTTCACCCCTTTGGGCCTAAGCGTCCTCATCTCCAAAACGAAGGCAATATTAGTATTGCTGTTCAGGCATAGTACGTGTTGCAAAAGTATCCCTTTAAAAAAGACCAAGACGATGTGGAAAGTGGTAGGATTGACAGTTATTTATATTAGATCGAACCACTTCTGTGAGCTGGGACCCTTTTGATACCAGCATCGTTTTTGACCTGCTCAAATGGCATTTGGCACAGCTCACCCTAATTGATCGCTTGTAAAAGTGTCATAATTAATATTTTTTTTAAATTAAGAGACTGTGCTAGCTGACAGTGTTTCTGCCTTGGAAGAGCTGGCAGTGGAGAAGGTGGGCGATTTGTAAATGTGAAAGCCCCCCCCCATGTCTTAACAGTTAACTGATATTTCCTGTCATACTCTTTCATCAAGCAATAGACAAAAAAATTAGGCAGTCTTAAAAAAATTAAATGAAAATTTTGTTTCTCTACTGTAACCCACCCATTTTACTCCCAAATATTACCAATGAAAACCTTGATCCACACAGAGAGTCGTGTATGAATATTTATAGCACCTGCTTTCATAGGAACTAAACATATGGAAACAACCCAGATGTTCTCCAGCATTTGTTAATGGATTAACAAATTGCGGGCTCACTCTAGACACCAGTGTGATTCCGTTTATTACCTGGCCCCCACATGTCCCCACTCTAAAACAAAAATGCCTTGGCGATGCTTTGTGTTTCTAGAGGAAAGGCCATGGGCTCGGGATGGGCCAGTCCTTCTGGCCCCGTTGACTCCTGGTCTAATGAGAGCAAGGCCCCCCCAAATCCCCTTTCGCCATGGATTGCTGTAGTTTCCATCCTATATGCACCATTGGTCACTGAGGGTCTTCTCCACATGGTGAGTAATTCCATTTCAGTCAGTTAGCTGCAATAACATGGGGCGTGCCATCTCAGCCCCTTAACCCATCTCGAATCCTTGCTAAGAGAATCCTTATAGCCACATTACAGATGCAGATAATCCACTGGACGTTCCACAGCAGCTTCGCTGTATTCTCAGCTGGGCTGCACCATTTATTTGCTATCGGTTGATTTACTGTTAGAACCAACTTTGGTGGTGGGACACTTGGAGAGTAGTTTTAATGCCCTTTCTTTTACAGGCCTAGTTCTCAGAAAGTCCCCCCCCCCCCCCCCGTTTCCCTGAATAGAGCCCTGTATTTGAGCTGGTTTGCCTCCTTGCAGTGGCAGCCAGAGACAGCAGAGCGCAGTCGGCAGTAGGGACCCCAGCGAGCCAGAGCTGGCGGGGCTGCCCTGAGTGTCCTTCCTTCCCGGGCCACCGTGGCCTGCCCCCCCACCCCACCCCACTACCTGCTTTGCACCCATCCCTCCCTGTTGGTTGAGCCAAAGCTCACAGCAGTGGGGACATTCCTCATGTGGTATTTTAATCTCTCATCCTCTACATTTCCCTCATCTTTCTTCCAAAGAACTGTCATTGCAAGCTACCCCATGCTAACACCAGAAGTAGCAGAGGGTTCAATCAACAGCAAACAAATGATGGGGTTCACACGTTTTCACATTTTTTTAATAAAGGCAGACTCCACTTTGAGGAGGTGGCATGGCCGTGGGGCTGCCGAAGGTGCTGTGAAGAACTTGGCTCCCCAGCGTGTGCACGTAGGAAGCCCGCGGCACCGCCAGAGGTCTTACTTGCTTGTGCTGGGGACAGTGAAGCACCACCATTAAGAGCACGTGGTCAGGTGCCAGCCTCCCACATTTAAAAGGGGGCTCTAACATGCCCTACCAAGACCTTGGGCAAATTTAAAAACTCTCTGGCCTCCGCTTCTCATCTGACAAATGTAAATAGGTGTTGTACCTACTCACATGTTATTGCATGCAAAGCTTTTAGGACAGCGCCAGGCACCTTGTACATGGGCAACGAGTGAATCTTTATTATCTCTTGGGGTGCACCTGCAAGAGCTCCCCATTCCTAAAATGTGGGGGTTCAAGTGGGTCAATCGTTTTCCTAATAGGACTGGAGTTGCAGGGTTTCTCTGTTGTCACCACCTTCTTGATTTCAGTGCGTCTTATGAAGATGCTTTGCATCTTGTTCTTGGCGCCAGCTGTGGTCCAGGGTGTTGTCGCCAGTCCCTTGGTGCCACCATCAGGCCAACCCAGTCCTGCATGTCACTGAGGAGGAGACTCGTCACCCCTCCTACGAGCAGCTTCCTTTATTCTGCCTGGAAACAGACCAAGCGGTGGTTGCTTTATACGATGGCAGTGCAGAGTCTGGGGCCTTCCTCGCCTTTCTCTTCAACTGTAGATATATTACTTCATACCAGTGGAATGAAGGAGTGGATGAGCCTTTCCGTATCGCTCTGTGGGAGATGCGTTCGTATTTCTGCCCTCTGTCAGCCCCACGGTGCCTCTCAGTAGCAAGTTGCTTTCTGTTGGCTTATTCAATGGGTCCCATCCACTTGGACATGATACCACCACAGGATTCCGCATCGACATTTTTATAGTCACTACCCATCAACTCTGTCTCCGTTCACACAGCAAAATGTGTGTGCACCCTGCGCTAAGGAGACAAAAAGTGTGGCATCCATTTTTCTTCCCTCTGACTCATCGTGGCGTCACAAATCGTCCAGCAGGGGGCAGCACTTCTCTGATCGCTTTCCCTTCGAAACACTTGGGCCTGGAGAACGGACACTTACCTGCAAAGAAAAAAACCAATGCATCAGTAACGTATAAAACTGATGATGAGCACAAGGACGGAAGTGTGATGTGTAACCAATTTTCTTTCAGTCACAGAAGACCTTATCAGACGGAATGCTGAGCACAATGACTGCATAATTTTTTCCCTGGAGGAGCTCTCCTTGCATCAGCAGGAAATAGAAAGGCTAGAACATATTGACAAATGGTGCCGGGATTTGAAAATCCTCTACCTTCAAAATAATCTCATTGGGAAAATTGGTAAGTGTTCAGGACTTTGTTCTCATGGTTTCTTTAACATTGTGGGTGGGAGAACTTTGGAGAAGGCAGTGTTATGCTTAGAGGGAGACAAAGAATTAGGTGGGACGTGGGACACAGCCTGCCTCAGCAGCTGTGCATGGAGCGTTCCAGAACCTTCCAGAACCTTCCCGGGCATGCTCAGCCTCCTTGCTCCTAGGGATTTCCATCAAGGATTTGCGGAGAGCATTAAAGGCAGGGAGCACGTTAGCCGACCTGCTCACGCGCAGCCCAGCTTTGAAGTGTGAAAGGAAGGAAGGACATAGCCCTGGCATGTGTCAGGATTTCCCTCACTCTGTGCAGCTGAGTGGATCCTGTGGGAGCCGAGTCCTCGTCGGTGACCACAGCTTGTGATATCTTGTCCTGCCCAATGTCTGGAGAAGGCTTGTGTGTGAGGTGCGGCACTCAGGAATGGCTGTCCAGGGGCTTCCACGATGGCGCCCCTGTTTACTGCTCCAGTTTGGAATGAAATGAGAGGTACATATCGGAGTCAGGTGGATGGAGATCAAAATATCAGCATTATAGCTGACAAAACTCTTTGGAAAATGTGGTACCCACACGGAGCCCCTGCTTTATGGCAGGAGGCCTGTGCCCCCTGCTGGCAGGCAGATCCTAGGGGCCAGGAGAGTGGGTGGGGCAAGGCATACGCAGTTACTTCTCCCAATTCATCCATCAGATAAGTCAGTGGTTCCCCCCCCCGCCCCCACCCCAGGGAAGCGTGGGTTAAGGGGCAGACAGAAAGGAGGACGGTGGAGTCACTGAAATGGGGTCCTGCCACACGGAAACAGGAGGAGTGTCCCCCAACACGCAGAAGAGCACAGTGTGGTTTAGTGGTAAGAGCAGGCGCAGGCCCTGACGTCAGGCGCACCTGGGCCTGAGCCCCACCTCTGCCACTTAGCATCTGTGTGAAGTGAGGCAAGTCAGTGAGGTTGCCCAAGTCTCAGTCTTGCCATCTGTAAAACGGGGATAATAACAGCTAACACCCAGAAGTGGTATCAGGACTACATGAGACGATATGCATAGCATTGCACTCACTCATCAGATGATAGCTGCTGCTGTTGTTAATATTGTCAGGTACCCCAGGCTAGCCAAATGAGGGGAGAACTGAACAGAGTTAGAGGAAAAGGAATGGCGTTGGGGTTTATGAGGCACAGGGAGCGCCAGCGCCTGTGGGTTTCGGCACAGGCGCCCAGAGGTCAGGCTTTAAGGTTGTATTTGAACTATCCCTACTGCTGTGCAGGGGTTCTCAACAGGGGCATGTGGCAATGTCTGGAGACATTTTTGGTTGTGTGTGTGTGTGTGTGTGTGTGTGTGTGTGTGTGTGTGTGTTAGGGCAGCTAATGGCATGCAGTGTGCCGAGGCCAGGGATCTGCTAACCACCCTTCAGGGCCCAGGAAGAGTTACCTGGGGAAGTAACACACGAGGAAGAGTTACCCGGCCTCAAATGTAGGCATTGCTGAGCTTGAGAAACCTCGGCGGTGTGGTGGCCTCTATAATAGTTGGGTGGATAATTCAAAATTGGCCCTATGGTAGCAAAAAGCCTAGAATTTGCATCCTCTTTTCTGAAGACTTACTAGAGCTGTTTCTTCAGGTAATTATTTTCGGCATCTTTTACTTGACCAGGAATTTGAAACTCTGGCACATGGTTCAATTAAAAGGCTGTTACAGACAACCCCCAGCTTTCACGCGTGGGGTCATTGAAGAGCCAGCCTCATTGTACTGATCTGAAAGCATTCTCGCAATTTCCATCTCCACAGCTGGGCCCATCACAATTACTCATTAGTAGCATCACATTTCAGTCCTTTTCAGAGCTGTGAGGAGGCTTACATTTTTGCTTCTAAAGTATTCTTAAATTAAACACCCTTTTAAATTTTAATAATGGGATTTTTCAGTGCTACCCCACCCATAGGCATTTAGGCGTTTATTTCGCTAGTAACACTATTCCTCTTGGATTCAGACTTACTCTTGTGCCACTGAAATAAATAGCACTTTGCAGAAACAGTCGCCCTTCGTGAAGTTCTGTTCCTCACTGGGAGATGCAGATGGGCTGCGAGGGGGCAAAGGCTCTGCTCAGTGTTGGTCCAGGTGTGAGCTGAGGACCTCTGGGGTCCTGTGAAAGTGGGGCGCAGGTCCCATCCCACACCTACTGACCCAGAGTCTGTGGGGGCAGTTTCCCAGAATCTGCACTGGGAATGACTTTCCCACGAGCCTCTGGCCTGGGCAAAGCTGAGAGCCCCAGAGCTGCTCGAGTTGGGGAGAGGTGGGCCCACGACTCTGGTTATGGCAGAGCTGCTGCTTCCAGGATGGTCTGGGCTAGAACGCTCCGACTTCCTTCCTGCTGCTCAGAGGCTCAGTCCGTTTTTACTGACAGAGTCCCTTTTTCTTCCTGACCCATTTGGCTCGCTGCTTTGGATGAGTTAATGTAGGACATACTTCCAGAACAAATCTTACCTTTCTTTTTCTACTAGATGACTCTTTTAGCCTGTAGAGGGTTAGGATACATATGACAAGTGTGGGGAAGGAAGAGGTATTTGATTGCGGGCTGGCGATCTTAACCATGATCACTTTAGGTGTTTTTGTTCAGGGTGCAGACCAGACACTCTTGCGTATCATAATCCTCAGCACAAAGGCCTCTACAGACCTGTTGACTCTTGAACGCTCAGATGCTGCCTAGAGAGCCTTTACTAAAGTCAGTATTAATTAGGGTAATCGAATCGCTGAGAGACACTTGAGTGATTTTTTTCTAAAATCCTCACTTTGAAAAATGAGTAAATTTTCAAATGAGTAAATTTTGAAAAATGAGGCCTAAAAAAGAAAACTGTTGCTCTCAGGTCGGTGGGAATAAGTGCATGATATTTTGTGAATGTTAAATGAAATGCAATGATGATAAGGGTGATGATTATAAATCATCATTTTTGATCTTCGTAATATCCCTGAAAAATGGTTAGAAGAACCATTCTTTAAGTGGGACTGCTCAAACACACATTCCTTAGCAGGGTTTCTTACATTCATGTCGTCTTAGGAAGGACTGTTCTTTCAAGGTCTAGTGCAATGATTTACTGCCAAGCTCTGGCTTAGATTTTCTGCCTCTTACCACTTAACCTTGAACAAGGGCATTAATTCTTCACACCTTGGTATTCTCGTTTGTAAAAGGAAAACAGTAATAGAGTTTTTACCTCATAGGGTTGTTCTGAGGATGAATGACATAACATATGCAAAAGGCTTAGAAAATTACATGGCATACAGTATGCATTTGTTGACCTTAGATATGGCTGTATGAGCTGTTTCTAAAAGGCCCCATCCTACAGCGATCCCTTGACTTACTCATGCTTGGTGTTTTGCCTTTATGGGATTTTATATTTATTAAAAATGATAATCCTGTTTCAGGATGATTTGGGCGAGTAAAGGAGAACCCAACTCAATGTGGCTTCCCTGTACAGAAACCAGTATCTTACCCAACCATCAGTCTAGAGACGGGGCTGGCTCCATCTCTCGGTTGGTTGATTCCTTTGGTCTACTCCACCAGCCACAGTGCGCTTCGTCCCAGAGCTGGTCCCCTACTGGCTTCAAGAGGACTGGGTATCAAGAGGGACAACACTTCCTTCCTTTGTAACATCCAGCAGGAAAAAAAAAAAGAAAGGAAATCCTCAAGTGTCGGGTAGAGATCTTGTCTTTTCACCTGGTTGGGAGCATCTGGTGTGCATGCCCTGTCCCGCTTCACATGGGCTGGTTGACTTAAGACTGCTCCTGAGCTGTCACTAGCAAGGGACATGGGATTGCCATGCACTGGCCCAGCTTGGTTAAGCCTCACCCCTGGAGTTGGGGCTGGGTAGAGACATGAGCAGAACTGGCTTCCATTAGGAAGGATGGAGGCAGAAATGGACGTCGCGTGGGCAGTCAACAGTGCGTGATGTACAGGTATGGATTTGGAAAACCAACATACTGATTCTTAGGTTCTCTTTATCATCTTTACAATAGATTATGTAAACATGTCTTTTGTCTCTAAGGTTAATTACATTATTTGTATGTTTCAGAAAATGTTAGCAAACTCAAGAAACTTGAATATTTGAATTTAGCTTTAAACAACATTGAAAAAATTGAAAATTTGGAAGGTAAGAATTTTCCTCTTATTTTACTGTGAATGCAAATTGAGATTTGAAATTAGATTTGAACAGTATTGCTTAAACAATATATTCTCTTGTTTTCTTGTCAGTTCCTTTGATGGTGTCCTTTGGAGCACAGTTATTTTCTTTTTTAATACTAGCTTGATTGAGGTATAATTGATATACAGAGACCTGTACGTATTTAATGCATGTAATTTGATGCGTTTGGACATATGCCCACACCCAGGAAGCCATCACCACAATCAAAGTAATAGACATATCCATCGCCTCTGTTTTCCCTGATCGCCCCCTCAGATTTCTTTTAAATATATATTTTGGTTGCACTAGATTGATCTTCCATGCCGCTCTACCTGCATTCCTATTTAGACCTGTCTTGTGCTGCCTCCTGGAAGGTTTCCTGTTTTACTTGGCAGGCTTCTGTTTTGTACTGTTACTGCTTTCCTGCGTGTCTGGTAACATTTGGTGACTTTTCATAATCACAAAGGATGGGGTTGGTTGGGTGGCTGGTGTGGGCTCGTCTGCAGCCGTGAGGTTGTGTCTGCACCTCCAGCCGCTCGCCTGGCTGGCAGGGCTGCCGGAGGGCTCTGTGTGAGCAGGACACGGCGACTGGCTGGCTTTCCCGCAGAGCGCAGGGCCGTGGTGCAGAGGCACGTGGCGCAGAGGCAGGCAAGCCGCTCTCCCCACCCCACTCCCATCTGCCAGTAGCTGAGGCTCGGAGGGTTTGACTTAGGTGATGGTAGATTTTAGCCTATTTACCTCCTTAGAAATTGATATTTCAGCAACTATCAAAGTCAAATACCAACCAAGACATAAATATTCATCATACGTTTTAAATGTTCACCCTCAAAGCCTAAAATATCATCACTGATAATATCAAATACTATCAGTGCTGGAGTGGAGATGATTCTTCCCATGGCTGGCATTTTTCCTCCTTAGAAATGGAGCCATTGCTCTCTCAGCTACCACTCTGCAGCCGTTACTGTGTCCTCGTGTGAACAAATGGAATAACAAAATTTACTCAGTGTCCATGTTTTGCGGCAGTAAAATACCAATTTAAAATGTCAGAGGAATCATTAAAACGCTCACTCTTGGTTGGCTTGTCCGGGACTTACTATTTTTATGCAAGTATCTGAAAGAATGGGAAAAGTTCTATTTTTGCGAAAAGTTCTATGTTTTGGTCATCCACCACTAGAGGGCAGCATCATCACTATAGTCTTTTTGAGCTTTGGGCGCCCCCGCCCGCAGCCCCCCACAGGCCTGTTACCTGCATGCTCCTTCCTTGTGCCGTCCACTTTCCAGCTCTTCCATGGGCGCCCCGGGCGCAGGGCAGCTCCAGGATATGTTTGTGCGCATGGCGTCTGCTGTGAGATACGCAGACTTTTTGTTTAATTTTAAAGGTTTGAAGTGAAAGAGGAGGAAACTGGATAGACAGACCCTATATAGCCTTCGGCAATGAGCAAAACTTGCCCAAAGGTGACATTGGCTACAAAGCAATGAACTAATCTGAATCAAGTTCACTTTGGTGAATTAATATATCAGGAACCAACGTTCACCCCCAAGTTACTCGTATATAGCCACAAAGTAATGGCAGAAAAGCAGTATATAGCCAGAAAGCACATGGGGAGGGTAGAATGCTGTAGAAGTTGGAAGAAGTGAGTCTAGAACAAGACAGAGCTGGGTTGTCGGCTGGAGCTGACTCTAAAGATACTGAAGTTTGCAAAATCAGACGTGTCAATCTAATAAGAGTGAGTCAGTCACAGGGAGAGAGCCTCGTCCTGGACCCAGCCCATGGAGGCTGCCGTCTAAACCTGATCACTTCTTCCTTAAGTCACAGAAAGAAACTGCAAACCCTTTGCTCAGGCAACGGCAAGCATCCTTCTTGCCCTGTAGGCACATTGTCCAAGAAGCCACGTGATAGTCACAAGAGAGCTAATTGGGCTACTTCTAACCCTAGCTAATATTTACTGACGCTATCTGGGTGAAAGACACTGTGCTAAGCGCTTTACCTGAATCATCCTATTGTTTTCACAACCCCCGAGTTGGGTACCAATACTATTCTAATCCTACAGAAGAGAAGGCTGAGGCTTGTAACTTTTCCAAGGTCACACAGCAAGGATGTGACAGAGATTGGACTTGGTAAGCAAGGCAGTTAATCAGCAGACTTAATATATGGCAACTGTTGCTTCTATTATGTGCTGTGTATTGCTCACATTTTGTTACCAGTGTGATTTTGTTTTGTTTTGTTTTTGCTTTGTTTTCTTTTCACTTCTCTCCACAGGATGTGAAGGGCTGACGAAACTTGACTTGACCGTAAATTTCATTGGCGAGCTGAGCAGCGTTAAAACCCTGCAGCACAATATCCACCTGAAGGAGCTGTTTCTCATGGGAAACCCATGTGCTGACTTTGACGGCTACCGGCCATTTGTGGTGGCCACTCTGCAACAATTAAAGGTATGTTTTTTCCAGTGATGCAGAAATCTCAGAAAAATAAAAACAAGCAACCGCAGCAAGGCCTGGGTTATTCACAGCATTGGCAGGGACATGAGTTGCTTGCTGGAGAGAATGAAATAGTCCAGAAAATCAAAACCAATTCTTTGACTTACTGAGCCTCTAAAATTGTTTTAAGTGCTTTAATAAATCCCTGAAGAATAAATTGCATCCTTTTCTCCTTGCTCATTCGGAATACACAGGGCTGAATCGAACTACTTCTTGATGAGTTCAGGTCATTGTTGCGAAGAGTGTTCATCCTTACTAACAGCAAACCCAAAGCTTAGGGATTTTGAGGTCGCCACAGTTACATATACCTTTGTATTTCATAATCTTGTTATGAATTACTTTTGTAATTCTTATTATTCTGAGTGCTTTTGTAATTATTATTATTTTATTGTTTTTCCATTCACTTGTTCTCTGTGGTAGAGGTTCTCAGACTTTGGTATGTTTTGAAATACTTGGATGGTGTTTGCTGGTCCTAGCCCCAGAGTTTCTGATCCAGTGGGTCTGATGATAACACCCAAGACACTGCATTTCTAACAGGCTCTTAGGTGACGCTGACACTGCTGGTCCAGGGAGTTCATTTGAGAACCACTGCTCTCTGTGCTAAACTCTTACACTATATGTCCCCCGATCTGATATTGTTGGAACTAGGAAAAAGCATATGGTTTTCTAGACAAATCATGCACCTTGAGCATATTAAATTAGTTATGTTAATTTTCACGGAATCCCAAGAGTGCTCAACCTGCATGTGGCCCCATGCTTCTACAAAGAGGATGCATGGATGCGTTGGCATTTTCTTCCATTCTCAGATGACATTTGTTTTTAAACTTTTTCTTCTTCTTTTTTTTTAAATTGTAGAACAGTGTGTTTTTCCAGGACCCATAAGCTCCAAGTCAAGTAGTTGTTTCAATCTAGTTGTGGAAGGCACAGCTCCATGGTCCATGTGGGGATCGAACTGGCAACCTTGCTGTTATGAGCACTGCGCTCTAACCACCTGAGCTAACCGGCCGCCTCTGACATTTGTTTTTAGACTGTGGTGTTCTGTGTAGTTGAGATTTCGGGGTTAACGGAACACGTTTCTTCTCATGGAAAGTGTCTTTAAAAGAATGGGTGACACAGATCATTGAATCTAGAATGTATATTTACAATAAATGATAAATTGGCTCAAACATGATCTAGCTTGATCATCAATGAACTGATGGGAACCAGAATATCTTAGAAATGGGCCCTGTAGTGTGTGTCACACTGTGAGCCATTTCTCTGGAAAGGGGCAGGGGCTGTCACAGCTGAGCCCATGTCAGTGCTGCTGTGTTCAAGCTAGCTGTTGGTGACAGCCATCGGAAAGATGCCTAAAACCTGGGCCAAGGTGGTGCCAGGCGCTTTGGGCACATCTCTGGCCCTCCTGGACCCTTGCAGGGAGAAAGGGAGTGCTCTCAGAGATGAGGAAGCCAGGGCTCCCTGGTTAAGCTGACACACCTGGCAGGCGGCTGAGGTGGGATTTGAACCAGAAAGTCACACTAGACCACTCTCACTGCATCTCTCCAGGTCGGTATTCAAAGCAAGTATTTCCTTTCCGAGGAAGTATTTCCTTTCTGAAAGACTGACCTAATTCAGCTGTTAACACTGAGCCACAGCCCCTCTTTGAAAAACAGCATCCATAAATGTGTTTACTAGTGTTGAAAAACAGGTGGTTCGGCTTTAGAATCTTAATCGCCATTGCACTGAGAGCTTGGGAGTTACTTGGAAGGAATTGTGCTAATAGGTGTATTATTTTCCTAGGGGTGCCGTAACAACTGGGAGGCGTAAACACCAGAAAGTTATTATGTCCCAGTTCTGGAGGCTAGAAGTCCCGAATCAAAGGTGTCAGCAGGGTTGGGTCCTTCTGAGAGCTGTGAGGGGACTCCGGTCCATGCCTTTCCCGCTTCAGGTGGTCGCTGGCTGTCTGACGTTCCTTGGCTTGTACTAGCATCACTCTCATCTCTGCCTTTATCTTCACACGGCCTTCTCCTGTGTTGCGGCATCTGCGCACGGCGTCCTTTTTATAAGGACACCAGTCATGTTGGATTAGGGGCCCACCCTACTCCAAGATGACCTCATCCTAACGCATGACATCTGCAATGACCCTGTTTCCCAATAAGGTCACAGTCTGAGCTTTGGGGGTCAGAAGGTCAACATAACTTTTTTGGGGGAAGGAGATACCATTAAATTCATAACAATGGGGTAATTATTTAGACAGACACCTAGAAGAGGTGTGAGGAGAGCCAGTCCTTTCCAAGTATCCCGTCCCCAGTGTCTGAGCCAGTCCTGGCAGGAAGAGGGCGCCGTCGTGTAGTGTGGGAAAAGGTTGCCCGCGGGCATTACCAGGTGTGTCTCATGTCTCCACGCCTATGAGTGGCGTGCCTCATTTTTCTAATCTATAATGGGATGATAATTGCTTCTTTAAATGAATTCTCTGAGGCCTTTGATGAATCTTAGTTTCTCTTCCTCTTTGCTACACCACTTGTGCAGTGATTATCAGTAAGTATGGGCACCTTACCTCTGTGTTGCAGGAATCCTACGTAAAAACCAAGGAATACTCTTTTTCTTTCTTTTATTTTTTTTTTGGTTGCTTTTTTTTTTCCAGGGAATACTCTTAACGCACAACTTAAAACTTCATCTCTCAGCTCATTAGGCTTTCCAAACTCAGGTGTAATTTTGGCTTGAATGAAGCTTGGACCCATTTCAAAGACTACCAAACAGAAATCGTCAAATAAATTATATCCAGTAAGAAGACCCTGGGAACAGGTGCTGGCAGATATATGGCAAAGTCCCAAATTTGTTAGGATCTCTCAGTGTGAGCTTTTCTGTTTCTTGTCTGTGTGGTGAGGGGTAGAACATGGGCTCATAGGTATTAGAGCTCAATTTTGTGTGATATACAAGGCCCTTTCTTGTAGAGCGCATTTGGGAAGGGTCACTGTTATACTTTAGAGCTATGGTTTGACTTGGGGCATTGAAATTCTTGATATAGTGAGTAGTTACAGAATTAATATATCTGAGAGCTCGTCATTAGTAATTGGTTTCAACAGAAGACCTACTTGTTATTACCAGTAAAGACAATTTGTAAACTGTGTTAATTGTATGAAATAAACATTGAAGTCAAAGTTTCTGATGTTTCCCGTTAAGTACTTTGCTTTTAATTCCATATCACTATGGTGCATTACTCATTATTTCTAAGTTTAAAACATTCCAATCAAAGTTAACCTGGGGCTGATGCAAATGGCAACTCTTGAACAATGGCTCTGTCTTGGTTTATTTTTTATTCAAGTGGTTGGACGGTAAAGAAATAGAACGTTCAGAAAGGATTCAGGCATTACAGAACTTTCCAGTAATTGAACGACAAATCAGAGAGCAGGAGAAAGCTTACTGCCTCAGACGAGCCCAAGACAAGGAAGAGGCCCAGAGGAAACTGCAGGAAGAGAATGAAAACAAAGAAAAGAAAAGCCACCCAGGTTTTGATGGATGTTTGTTCACTGACATCGCTTCTACTCTGTATGTAAATTATTAGAGTTTACTTTTGAGTTAACGTTTGTTAGAAGCAGCAAACTGTGTTCTTTTCCTAAGGTGTTCACAGTATCACTCATATTCCAGATGATTAATTTGAAGAATATGTTTTTATGTGAATTTGGGGGGAAAGATTATGAGAACTGTCTGTGACAGTTCTGTGAGGGTTTTTTCCCTTAGGAAAACAATGTCTTTCCAGACTTGCAACTTGAATTTGCATTTAAGCTTCTCCTCAGACAAAAATCTTTCTAATACGTGCACAGTGAAGATGAATTAACAGGCGTATACTTTGATTTGTTAAGTAGGAATATTTTAGAAGAGCTGAATGCAAATCACATTATTATAAATAGAATACTTTTGGTTGCATCATAAAATGTTCTATTATATTGGGTTGTCGGAAAAGTCATGATGCATTTTTGCAACGAAAAACAGAAAAAATACATCATGACTTTTCCGACAACCCAATATAATGAATACATTTTTTCATGTGATTAATAAGCCTCTAACTGGTCTTTTTTTTTTTACAAACATGAATTTTTTTATGCTTGTTTAAGTAAATTGCATCTGTAGTCACAGTCTATAGTTGGTTTGATTCCATGCGGTAAAAGCTGTAAATATTTTGATAACAGAATCTCTTAAACTTGCGAAAATCATAATTATAAAATTTTCAGACATACGTCCATGTTAAAAAAATAAGTCGGCAGTTATAGTTCCACCATCCAGACGTAATAAATATCAATCATTTGCATGTTGGCTTTGGATCTTTTTTTTAAATAAGAAATAAAATCACTGGTAGAGTAGCCGTTCCCTAAGGGTTCCTCCCCCATCCCATTCCTCCTTTCATTCCCAGTGGTGTCTGTCATCCTACAGCTAGAATACATTTCGTGTATGTCTAGCCCATCCACATTTTTAATATATTCTCTGTGTAATTATGCCTCCTAAACAAGAGTACTTAGGTGTGCTTTTGTAGCATGAATGATTATCTTTCTACCGCTTTGCTTTTCATTCATTATGTTTTTGAGATTTATGCAGATGAATACGTGCAGAACTAGTTCATTCATTCTAGCTGTGGAAATTCATTGGATGAATAAATCATAATGTGTCCTAGAGGCAATGTTTAAAATCTCTTAACAGTAGTGGTTCACTGGCCTGATCAGTCCGGCGTGCACCGTCCCAAACAGCCTGCATGGCTCTCCTAGGGGCGGCCAGCTGCACATCAGCCTGGGGCAGTCACCCTTCCTTGGGTGGCCTCATAGGTTGTTCTCCTCCTTTCATTGTTTCAGACAGTGCTGCACATGTCTGCTTGTGCAGGTATGAAATTTCTCTAGGGTATTCAGCAGTGACATTGCCACATCATCAGGTAGGAGTATTTTTCAACTTTCTATGCTTTAATTACCGTATTTGCCGGCGTATAAGACGACTCGGCGTATAAGACGACCCCCTAACATTTCCACTCAAAATACAGAGTTTGTTATATGGTCGGCTGTGTGCGATTTTGCGAGTGTGGTAAAATCGCATAACAGCAAAATCGCATAACAGCCGAGCATACACCCAGCAGCGCTGCTGATGCCTGAACGGTATGTGGAATGAAGTGGGCGGGCATCGGGAGGCCACTATGGCACGGGGCAAGCACTATGGGCAGTCTATCTGAAGTGTACCTGGCGTATAAGACGACCCCCCACTTGGAGGCATATTTTTCAGGGCCAAAAAATCGTCTTATACGCCGGCAAATACGGTACCCAATTGGTTCATGTATTCACAGTATAGGAGAGTTCCTAATGGTTGCCAGTACTGGATAATATGATATTTTAAAACATTAGCCAATCATGTTGGTGGTTGAACAGCACCTAATATTTCATTTGCATCTCTAGAATTCCCAGTGAGTTTGACTATCTTCTCCTATGTTTATTGGCTATTTATATTTCTTCTGTTTCGGTTCTCTTCAGGCCCTCTGCCTATTTTAAGTAAGTTGTGAATTTTTCTTTATTGATTTATAGTTCTCTTATATTCTGGATGAAAACATTTTTTGTAGTTATGCGTTTTGCAAATATCTATTCCCAGCCTGTGACTTGTCTTTAATTTTAATAAGTGTTCTGTTTTATGGAATTCAGAGATATTTGTGAAATTAAACTTATTTTTGTCCTCTGCGGTCTTGTTTATGAAAATACCCCAGTGTCATATGTGTCTATCTGGAACTAACTTTTGACTGCAGTGTAGGATAGGGTGCTAATCATTTCCTACGTGGGTAGCTGGTTGTTTCTGCACCATTTATTAAGGTGCTGTCCTTCTCCCGCTGATCTGTAACACCACCCTTACCATGTACCCTCTCCTCATGTATACATGGGTCCATTTTGGAGTTCACTAGACTTCTCCATGGGAGCAGCTCCCCCTGGTTTTAATTCCTGCAGATTTATACTCAATCTTGATATTTGACAGGAGATACTCTCATTTCTTCAAAATTACCTTGGCTCTTTTTAGTTTTTTACTCTTCTGTAAGGATTTTAGAATCCGCTATGCAAATTCCCCCCCAAATCCCCAGTGTCATTTTGATTGAAATTGCATTTAATTTATATGTTAATTAGGGGAAAGTTGACATCTTCATGACATTGATTCTTTCCTTGCTGAACTTGAGAATAGCTCTCTATTTAGACCTTCTGAGTCCTTCAGTAAGTTTTTGTAATTCTCTCTCTATAAAGGTCTCACATCATCTTTTACTAGATTTATTTCTAAGTATCTTATAGAATGAGGTTTTAAAAATAGGTTCATAATTTATTCTTGCTGATGTATAAGGAGACGCATGATTTCTGTGTACCGATACTGTATTAATCAATCTTGTTGAAATTTTTGAAAAGGTTTAATAGTCTGTAGATTATCCTGTCTTTTCTAGGTAGAAAAACAATTTTTATAAACAGCAACTTTAAATGTTTTTTCCAATCTTTCTACCTCTGCTTTCTGTTTTCCTCATGGTGCCTGCTAAGAGCTTCAGTACGGAACAGCGGCAGTAGGAGTGGGTATACATATCTGGTTCCTAACTTTAAGAAGAGTGTTTGATTTTTCATCATTAAATATAACGTTCCCCGTGAAGTTTGGTAGTAAGTAAGTTTCCTTTTAATCCAGGTTGATGAAGAGCTTTTAATCATCACAGATCCTGGATTTTTATTAAATGCTTTTTCTGCATCTGTTGAGATAATCATGTTTTTCTGTCAATGTGGTAAATCACATTAATAGATTTTCCGATGTTAAAGCATCCTTGAATTTCTAGAATAAGCTCACATTGTCCATATGATGTATTTTAACATGGTGTTCCATTCGTTTTGCTAATATTTTTTTTAATAATATTAACCTATGTTCATAAATGACTTTATGCTGTAATATCCTTTTTTCATTGTATTTTTTCCTGGTGTTTTGCATCAAAGTTATAATAGGCCCATAAAATGCATTGGGGATCACTTCCTAGTCTTGGTTTGTGAAAGTTTACAAATGTTTCAAACGACCCGTCCCTTGCAGTAGAGGTACACAGCTGAGTTCCTAGCAGGTGCCTACTTGCTTCTCCCCCAGGACTGGCTGTCCCTCAGCTGTCGCCCCATCCCTCCATTTAGCCTATAGGAACAGAAACCTACACATTCTAGAGGGGACTCGCTGACATAGTCGAGGAGGAGTAGGTGGCCACTCTCCTTTCAAGGCTGCAAGAAGACACACCATAGAGACTCAGGGGCTGCAAGAAGGGGAGATAAGCATTGCATCTCTTGACTAGACAGAGCCTGCTTCCAGCCCGGAGAACTGTGGCCTGAAACAGCCTGGAGCAGAAGGGCAGGAAAGCGGGCATTAATGGGCGCAGCTTACACTCCAAGCAGTTGGCAGGGCAAGGATTTGTGACTATCCCATAGGCCCAGCGCATGTGGCGGAAGGAGTTGCACTTGAGCTGTTTTGAACGGACGCCGCCTAAGAGAGCAGCAGCCGTAAGGGACTGCGGGTGGCTCGTCCATGGCAGGAGCTGAGGAGCCATCACAGATGGCAAGCCAGGTAGTCTGCTGATCCCTCTGGCAAGGAATAGTGTACCTGGAAGGCTCTTGTAGTGTCTCCAAGAACCAACAATTGTGCTCACAGGAGCAAGCCAGCCACTAGGCATCAGCCCCAGAGAGGGTACCAACAGCCAAAGTAGAAGAGCCTCGTTCTCACAAGAGATGTTTGCCTACTGCTCCCCATCCACGCTCCTTGGCCCACACTTCTGAAGTCGGGAGGCACCTGAAGCTGCCCAGTGGGACGGGGTACAGAGGGAAGGAACCCCTCTCCCCGTGCCCAGTCTCAAGCTGCAGAGGGAAGGGAAGGGCTTCCATTTGGATGTGAAGTTTTCTTTAAACTGTCGGCCTTTTAATACCTGCAAGCGAGTGTTAGCGGAGATGAGGCTGTTCTTTGACGTGCCTGCGGGGTCTGCTCACACGTGGGAAGAGCGCTCCTTCCAACGGAGCAGATTTGAAGGAGGTCGTTGAGGAGCAAATTGTTTTGCTCGTATGTTAATAAGCTCAACCGATTTCATCAGCCAGCCACACACATTCATATGCATTTTATCTCTGGAGACTTACGTTGTTGAGCTGATACTTCGGTAGTTTTTCTTAAGTGCAACGTTTTTTTTGTATTTTTGTTGTATTTTTAGATTGCAAAAGGTAAAAGTGTACTAATTAGTCACTTTCCAGCAAAAATCAAATTCTTTTAAATGAGAATGGAACAAATTATTTCAGTGACAATTAGCTAGAATATTGTAGAATATTATAGATTCCCTTAATAGATTGTTTTTTAATACCATAAAGAATTATAGCTATATGGCAAAGCATTTTCAGTAATTTGCATTACTTAGATTATTAAACTGTCTAGTCCCTTTTTATCATAAGTAAAGAATCTAAGCAGGATTTTACTCTATGTCCTGTTTATACTATTTAAATTTCATGTTCTAGTATTTTTGCTCCATCCCTTCAAAAAGCACCTTATTTGAAGGTCAACTAAATAAATGAGCCTGTGTGTCATCTCATTTCAGTAACAACAACAACATCTAACATTTAATGAGCACTTACTATTTGCCATACTTGGTACTAAAGGCTTCATGTGGATTTTTTCATTTAATATCATTTTGTAGCAGAGGGTATATTCTAGGATGAGCTGAGAGGAGAGAGGCTATTCTCAATGGTTACTGTTTGTAGAATGTCATTTTCTCTTTGCTAGAATAGAATCTCCTACAGGTGGTGGTGTCTGTCTTGACTAGGCCGTGTCCAGTGTCTGGCACACAGAAGATGCTCAACAAATATTTCTTGATTCCATGTTGAATGAATGTTGAATATCTCATAAAGAACTGATTCAGTGTCATATAGAGACATCATTTAGTTTGCTGACAGTCCACAGAACAGGAATAAAAAGGAGAACATAGCACTGTGACCAAATAAAGCTACATCAGAAGTTACCCATGAAACATAGAGCAGGCAGAGGCCATACCATGGAAGATCTCATATGTCCCACTGAAGAATTTTGGAGCTAGAGAACCTGGAAATAATACGATCTAATTTTCCTGTTAGATCCCCTGGGAGCAGTGTGGGTTGGAGGAGATGGGGTGATTGCTAAGTGTCAGTGGTCCCTGAGTTTGTCTGATCATCAGAAGCCCCTGCAAAATATTGTAAAACACAGATTCCTGGGCCTCACCCCGAATCTGCTGAATAGACTCTGGTGGGAATCCAGGAATCTGTACTTGTTTTAAAGCTCCCCAGGTGACTTAATCGGCCAAGTATGTGATCTCTGGAATCTGATTACTGAGGTAGTCCTGGTGATATATGAGGAGGGCCTGTCCCAATACTTTCCTCCAACTGGGCTCAGATAAGCTGTTTTAGACACATGTTGTCAAGGTAAGAGGATAACGTAAGAAAAATGTAGAAGGTATTTAAGCAGCAGCAGTAAGGATGAAACTCAGACACCCTATTGTTCTTTCCTAGCCCACCTTCTGTAGAGAGCAAAGACCGCCTCCAGGCACCAGAAATGCAAGAAGGGGAATATAACAAAAAGAAACTAGATGACTGTGAGGATGACCTGGAATTCTGGAACAAACCCTCTTTATTTACTCCTGAATCTAGATTGGAAACTCTTAGACATATTGAAAAACAACGGAAAGACCAAGAAAAATTAAGGTATTCCATTTTTCCCTATCATTGAGTGGGTGGTAACACTCTTATGGACTCTATGTTCATGGTTGCATGTTATTTTACTCATGATCTGTGTTCAACTTTTGCTAGTTACCCTACATAAACGTTGCTTTTGTGTAAGTTCAGCCTTTTGTTGTATCTGCTAACATTTATTAACATCAATCTACTTTCTTTGGAATATCATGAGTTAGGACATTTTAGGCAGGGTGTGGTTTTGTATGCTTTTCGTTTCGTAACCACTTTAAATGTGTTGAGTAATAGTGGCCTGGGTTAGTGATGCTAATTGTCACGGTACCAAGAAAAAGGCCACTTCTTGGGATGAATGGCCACTTTATATCTTTTAATTTGCAAAATTAATAATCAGAAATTAGTTTTATTAGGCATTATATTTTCCTAAGACAACTCTCTTGGACATTTAACAGTCTGCTTTTCACTTTCGAATTACTTAGATATAATTTGATGATTTGTTGGAAGCTAGAATGCTTAAGTTATTATTTTCAGAGTAGCTTTCTTAAAGATAGGCTCTGTGTCATTTCATTTCATGTCATTGCTTAGGTCTAGTATGTGAAATGTATCACTGATGGGAATACTTAGAATTCATGAGCTCAGGAACGTTATCAGTTAGCTCAGAAATACAGTAACTGCGTGGCAATGACACGAGTGAAAAACAGTTATCTCTCCTTAGTTTCTTGCAACTAAGAGTATGAAACTGAGAGTAGAAAAACAATCAGCAATCTCTGTTGCTTTCATAAACTTTTCTTTATTAAATAGCTAGATAGGGAGGTAACAAAAATCAGAATGGAATGTTATCTAAACTGCTTGTTGATAAAATTTGGTGATTTGTGCACTGAGAGGCCAATTTGGGAAGAGCCCTGGAATAACATCAGAAAATGTGGATTCATGTCATGACTCTGCTATTTACTCTGTGGAATGTGGGCAAGTACCTACCTTCTCCTTGCCTGTTTCCTCATCTGTTAAACAGGGACTAGCATACCTGCCTCACCTCCCCACGGTATTGTTAAGAGAATCAGATGGGCCTGAAATGTGAAAGGGCCTTGCAGGCTCAAGAACCCTTTGAAATGGAAATTCTGCATGTTTATATTGTATGTGCTGTATTTCCGATGTATATGCACACATACACACATATAGATACATATGTATTACATTTATATATGTATACGTATGCTCGTATATAATACATATTTATAATATATGTAAATTACATTATATTGAGCCGGAAGTCAGGCTAAGTTTTTCTTTCCCTGACAGCCTAATAAAGTACGGCTGCTTGGACGAAAGTCCCCCCATTCTGTTCAGGGCGCTGAAGTCTACCCAAGCCAGCGGGTCCCTAGCTGTTTGCCTCCCCTGGTGCCCATTAGTTGTCCTGGCTCACGGAGAATAATGTAGTCCACAGAGACATCAACTTATTGGACCTGGAGGCCCAGTTAAAGATGCAGAAAAGTGTGGATAAATTTATATTTGAAAATAAAGTTAACTGACGTAAAACCTATACTAAAAACAACAGAAATCCAAGGCAAAGCATTGCCTACAATTCTGTCATCTAAACAAATTTATCCATCTGATCTAGTGCTTATCCATGTATATGCCTACGTAAGTTTTTGTATGTTCCCGATAATGTTTTAAATAAACAGAACTTACATTCCACATTTTTCTTTCATGTTATTCCACGAGTCTTTCCGTCTTTGCTCCATCTCTTCTCCTCCTGTCCCTACCCCTTCTACGTAATGAGTGTTAGCAGGCGTGGGTCAATCTCACTAGAACTCTCTCTACCCTCTACAATTGGATGAGTGATTTCTGCAAAAGTAGGATATGGGTTCTTTTTTAAAAACCAAAAATGAACTTATATACTTGTTCTCACTAAATACATCATCAACACTTTTCTATCACGTTTTAGATCAGTAAGTAAAGAGTGAACACATTTTTTTAATAGCATGAATATACCACAATTGATCCAATCATTCCTCCATTGATGGGCTTACATGATAGTTCCAGGGTTTTGCCACTACAGATAATGCTGTGATAGACATCCTTTTATGTAGGTCCTTATGTACTGATATTTTTATTTCTGTAGAATACATTCTACTTGGCATTTAAAAAAACTGTAATTGTAACTAAAGCAGAAGCTATGTACACACATGGAGAATTGACAGTGGTCTGGCTGAATCATGCATAAAATACAACTTATTTAAATATTAATGGACATTTCATGAAAAGGAGTCTTTTTTCCCCCATTCGAATTATCTGGCAAATTGTCTTGGTCACATTTTTGCTTTACAGACATCGATACAACCCTGCAGAAGTCTGGCTTGACTGTCAATTCTCAGCGACAGAATGGACTTCATTACAGTGAACTGGGATATCATCACAAATATTGATTCATTTTTCTTAAACTGTTTCTCAAAAATATTGATTACTTTCCTTTTCTCTTTGTTTTCTCCCTCTTCCCACTGCCCCTTGTTCCCACCCACCTCCCATCTTAAGTGAAAAAAAGAAGAAAGTGAAGCTGCCCAGGACACTGATCACTGAAGACGGGAAAGCGCTGAACGTAAACGAGCCCAAGTACGTGAGGCCGTATGGCGACTTCGAAGCAAAACGTGTGTTGTTGGTCGTTACAGCTACAGGTTTGCTCTGCAGAGAATATATCTGACCACTCTTAAGCTCGATGACTCTAATAAGAACGACATTTGTGCATATTTGAAAGCAAATTATGTTTTCAAGTGCATAATGCTATATTTCAGTTTCTTGGCATCTAGGAAATGATCTTGACATATGGAAATCTCAGTTATTTATGTATCCCCTGAAACTTTGGACCATCTACAATTTTAGGCCTGAAAATTGCCAGAGTATTATTGTTGTGTTGATGAATTTTTAAAACTCTGCCATGAACGAGCTGGCTGAGAATGCTGCTACATCTCCTATCCATCTACTTCATGCCCAGGAACACAAAGCATTCGAGAGCTAAGGAAGGAAGTCGATATAAATACCTCCAGGAAGCTAATGAGAGAGGAAAAATATTCAAACTGGAAATCCTCAAGCATAATAATATCTGATCTACTCTAGCTGGCTGTCTTAAAATTTAAAACTAGAAAGCAGCCTAAAAAGGCCTCTTGCAGCCAAAATACAGACCAAAAAGCCCATGGTCGAAACCTCGTTTGCTTCATTTCATTACTCAGAGTCTATTTACTTTCATCATTTTGTTTGCTATGCCATTACCGTAAATCGTTTGCCAGGCATCCTTCATTTCCCCTGCATGGCAATCGTGTGTGATAGGCAGCATTTCTTTTTCATAGGTCCAAAACCTGAGCCTGAGACAGAGGAAGTGACTTGCTCAAGGTCACGTAGCTAATAGGTGGTGTGTCTGATTGCTCATGGTAACCCAATTCTAGTGATTTCCATGATCAAGTTTATATTCTCACTCTCCCCAACACTTCATGCACACAGATATGTTCTTTATCCAGCAGGCATGAAGGCAGCACAAGACTCGATGCAGACACTGGGGATACTGCAGTGAATATGACAGGTTTCTGCCTTCATGGAGATGCAAAATCTAATGGGAAAACATCTCTATCTTTAGCATACAGCATCAGGGCTCAGGGGAGACCCCCAGAGCTCTCTGTGCCCCACTCCTCTTATCACACTAACCACTTTATCCACCTCTAAGACTAATTCTGTTTAGGGGGATTCTATGAAGAACTGATTTCCCATCACCTCCCCTACCACCACCTACCTCTGTCCGACTGTGGTCACCCTTCCTGACCTTCCTGGGTCATCTGTCATCATCCAGAATCCTATTCCCATATGGCTCTGTACACCATCTAATCTAACTCACTCTCCTCCCCCTGCCTGACTCCCACCCCTTCCACTGTGCCCTCTGGAGCATATGCCGTGTCAGCAAAACCTGGACAATTGCAGTAACTTGTTATGTAGCCTCTATGGTTCGCCTCTCGGCCTCCTGTCATCTCTTCTACTTTGCTGAGTGAAGGAGAACACTTGTCTTCACAGAGCGAAATCCCATGACCCCATCTAGCTGCAAGGGAGGCTGGAAAATATAGTCCTTATTTTGCAGAACCTTGTTCCCAGTAAAAATCAGGGGTCCTATTACTACAGAAAAAGGGGGAGCAAATAGAGGGGAATGGTAGCAATCTCTGCCCTAGAAAAACCTCTCCGAAATTACCTTTCGAGTAATGTAGGAAGGGAGAGTTTAAGTCGGCTGGCTGGAAAATTGAGGAGTAGCGATCAAG